TCCTCCAATCGCGGTCAGTCATTTCCTCTAGAGGCTTTTCGGTCCAGTGTCTGTCGTCCCACAGTTGTTTGGCCTCGCGTCTAGCAACACTATGGAGACGTTTCCTAGGGGAGAATACATGTTAAGGCAAGTACACAAGTTCGCATACGATTCTTGTTCTTTTTGAGTGTCAGAACGTCTTCCCTCCAGCATTTTTGCGTAGAATCTTCCGATTTCTCGTTTTTGTTGCTAAAAATCGTTATAGGGGCTGATTAGTACCCAAATGAACGGGGATACCTTAATGTCGATGCCACCGATGTGACCTCGTCCGAAAAATTGAATTTGATGTTTTTCCTTGTAGAGTGGATTATAGTCCTGACTAGTATCTTCGTTAGCATCCCAATCAAACACAAATTTGCGTTCGTTCATGCGCCTTTGACGACGCTTCGTGAACCTCTTCTGTCCCAAATACCTCTCCTTAATGGCTTCCTCCTCCTTGACCTTGTCGGAAACGTTCAACGATTTGCCGGATGGACCGGACGCCCGTGATTTGTCCGGATACCGTCTGTCTAATTCATCGCGGCGTCTATACCTGTCATGAGAACGATACTCATAGTCCGTTCTATCCATTCTATCAAAGTTATCTAGAAGAAGTACTTGATGAATTAAGACAATGTACGAACCCTTATTTTTCGATAAATAGTCAATCTGTTTCTTAAGTTCTTCGGTTGCGCGCTTTCGTTGTTCCTTTATTTCCTCCTCTCTTTTCAGCAGCGCCAGTCTAGCCCTTTCTTCCTTTGAAATGAACTTTGGCTTTGCCTCTTCCGTTTCAGCAGCCCTCTTTTTCAATAAAAGTTCTTCCAGGGAGACGGGGCCTTTGGGTTTATCACCATCTGTCCGAGAAACGGATTCTTCTTCCTCCTCCTCCTCCTTCTCCTTCAAAACCCTCTCTTTGCTTGTTGACTTGTCATTCTTTAGTGAGGAGGATTCCATCTCACCAGAGGATTTTTTGTCTGGCCGTTCTTCAACCTTGACAGACTTTTCAAGTTTCATGTCACCATTTTCCTCTGCTGTTTTCTCTCGTCTTGGCTTTTTTTCTGGTGGTTCCGCTTCTGCTGACTTGCGTTCCTTCTTGTGTTCCTTTGAGTGAGACCGTTTCTTGTGTTTTTTCTTTTCCTTTTTTGCCTTCTTTTCTTTCTTCTTCTTGTGCTTTTCCTTCTTTGTCTCCTTCTTTAATTCCTTTTTACGCCGCTTTTCTTCCTCAGTCTCATCAAGCTCCATCTTTCGATCCCTATAAAAAATAGGTAAGGGAAAAAAGGAATACAAAGGAACCTATCCGCTGGTGTTGAGTCCTTCTTGGGT